CCTCTTTCTTGGTGATTAGTTTGTATTCTCTGTAGATTCTGGTTATTAGCCCTTTGTTAGATTCATAACATGTGAATGTCTTCTCCCATTCTGAAGGTTGTCTGTTTTCTTTACTTGTTGTATGCTTAGCTGTACAGAAGCTTTTTATCTTGATTAGGTCTCATGTTTAATTTTGGTGTTGCTGCAATTGCCAGTGGGGGTTGCCTTCATAAAATCTGTCCCCAGGAGGTACTGGTACTGGTTCTTTTAATGTAATTGGCTTATGTAATCTAGGAGCAGCTTGGTACTCAGACTTTGGTTTCTAAATGCTACTTACTGTATGAAAATAAGACCTGCTAAAGGGAATAGCTGGTTCCAGAAGCAGACCAGGGAAAATAAGAAATGGGCTTTGGACAACTTGAAGGAAGAAATCAAGAAAATAAGGACTAATGAAATCAGGTCAAAAGGTCACAAAAACCAGCTTGAAGGGACCCCAAGGGGTCAAATTTAGGACAGTATGAACATAAAAAAAAAATGATAGCAATTGATAATGACACAGAGAAAAGGGGGGGGACAGAGGGTAGAGGAAGGAAGATTCTTTTGTATATAGCTAATAAGTACAGAAGAAATGGTAAAATCACTATTTTATAATCTCACATGGAATAATTGAAGCAAAGATGATTAAGGGATGCTAAACTCATTGTGAAAAATTATTGGGCACTAGGACAGCGACATGGCACCAAACTGCCTTCTTGGGTTACTCCCTGATAGGAAAGGAGACATGTACCTTTCTAATAAAAAGATAGGGCAGTAACTGTCTTCACTGAGTGATGGAGTTTAGCATGCATTATTAATAATAATGGAACAACCTAACACTGTGTGTTTTCTGATGTGAAGAACTATGAAGTTCACAGCATGAAGTACTTTTGTCAAATCTGTTTAATTTGCATCTAGACTTACCTTTTAGTTCACAGGACATACAAATGATGGAAGAAGAGGCAACAATGAGATAAACTCAGAATGTGGGTCATTTTCCAAGACAACCAGTGTACTCTTCAAAAAGTGAATGTCATTAAGAAAGAAAAAAATGGCAGAAGGATTTTTTGATTAAAAGATGCTACAAAGATGAAGCAGTGAAATGCAATGGGTAAAAATTGATGGGGTCCTAGATTAAGGAGAAAATAGTATAAAAAGTAGGCAATCAAGGATATTTGAATATGGAATAGATATTACATAATATGAAACTGTTGGTTTTCTTAGCTGTAATAACAATATTGTTATGTAGTAAAATGTCCTATTCCTAGGGGATGGATGCTGAGTTATGGTATTTTAGGAGTGAAGGCCTGTGTGTGTGACTCCCTTTCAAATCCTTCACCACAATAAATTTTATAAAGGATATACACACAAAAGCATATATGGCACTGGGCTATGACTGTTGCATAGGTGAGTATTCTTTGCATTATTCTTTCAACTTTTTTTTTCTTCCGAAATTAAAAAAAAAAAAAAAAAAACTGGAAAAAGAAAAAAAAATCAATATGGGAAAAACAAAGTAAAAGTTTTAGCATGGCAGGTAGGCTGGCCGGCCCAGCCCCCTTCCTCCATCCATTGAGCCATGAGCATTGAGCCATGTGCACGCCCAGTGTTATTGCCATGTTTTGGAAAACTGAGAAAACCTCCTGAGAAGTTTAGTATAGGACGACCAGATTTTAACATTTGTAAAGCGGGACAACATGGGGGGTGGGGGCAGGGCAGGGCAGGGCCTGACAACAATGCAAACTTTGATAAGCAGTTCTCGATAATCACTTCTCAACAATTATTTGTTATTATTACAGTTTAACATTATAAAATTAACAAAAAATAATGTAAAACTCATATTCTGGCGAAATAGCCACATGGCAGCCCAAAACCATACATTTATTCCCTTCCTGTTCTCCACCCGTTTGTGCATTCTTTCCAAAAATCAGGACTTTTTAAAAATGCCGCAGGACATGGGACAAATTGTTCAAAAGTGTGACGTCTGGTCACCCTAATTTAATAGCAAACCTTGAGGCAGAGGCTTGTCTTACTCATTTGTAGCATTTCCGGGGTCTGAAACCTTGCAGGAAAACTGTCGACTAAAGAAATACATAAATAAAGGGGGTGACCAAGTTTGAGGGTTCTCTGGAAAAGGGAGAGCATACCAGAGACTTTCAAATTCAGCGAATATTTGTGGAATTTCGTGGCTGTGAAGGGGTGGGTAAGGTAAAGATTGGTTCCAGAATTAAGGGGACGAAAGCCTCTTTTTAAATCACTTCTCTGCGTGCAGTAAGGACTATATTTCATACTGTTTTAACTTTCAGGGATAATGCTTTTGTGAATTAATAATCAAAGCTGTTTAGTGGACGCCTTCTGCCGTTTCCCTACACATGGGGACAATTGGAGTTTGGTGAGAAGCCTTCAGAGGGTGGCATGTGCAATTATGCTTTGTTCCGTGGTGTGCTATGAGTTGGGCACTTAATTATGTAAAAGATATTGCAAGAGAGCAGTTGTGTAATCCCCAAGAGAATAATTATTGCCTGTCTTGGCAGAGTGCAAGGCTTTTAATCTGTAAATACGCAATTCTATGCGGAAGAGCTACATGCAGAGTGATTCTGTGTCTTAAAGGTCTCTTATGAATTTTTTAATGTGAGAGCAGCCACTGCGTACGCCCGGTTGGCTATTGTCTTTGTGTTTCAAAGGGTTTATGATCCTCCCCTTGTGGTTTTATCCCCTCTTGAAATATTTAAACCTCTAAGAATGATTCCCATAAAGGGTAAATGTGTCTGTGTTAAGCTGATGAAAAATCTGAGGATTTCAAACGGAGAAGAGGTAAAATGTGCTTTCTGCAAATTAAAAACAAACAACAAAACATTGAGAGTGCTTTTTTTTAAAAAAAAGTGAAGATACAGTAGTTAGCTGGTATATTGCTTACTTTTGGACTTTAGTAAGTTCTTTTTCTATTTTTTAATAGATTTATAAGAAGCCACATTTATGTCAAGTTTTGGCCTCCGTGTATGTATAAAAATGCGTGCCACTGGTATATGTGTGTTTTGTTTAGGAAGATCTGAGTCTTTTGGATACTGTGAGCAAATTCTGACTTCTGCAAAGTTGCCCCTAGACAGAAGGGTCTGCCTTCTGTCCTTTCCCCGCCCTCCTTCTGGTCAGTGTGGACGAGCTGACCATTCCTCACCAGGGACAGCGCCTGCACCTGAACACCTGATTTCTCTCCCCTTTGCCTACTCAAGGGTTTCATTCAGGGGACTGTCCTTCTCTCCTAGATGACCAAATTCCCCCCATCTACCAAGTGCATTAAAATAGAAACATGTCGTAACGTAACATCTTCCACTATTTCTCAAAAACTTTCTTTGCCTCTATTTCTCTGTTCTCCTTTGCACCCAAACTCAAGAGTCTATATTCTGTTTTCACTTCCTCTCTTTCTTTTGTCTCAAGAACCTGCTCCAAGCAGCCTTTCCTGCCAATCCTCCACACAAAATCTGCTTTTGTCAAGGTCCCTGTGACCTTCACACTGCCAGAGTCCATGGACAGTCCTTAGTCTGAGTCTTAGATGGCCACCTGCAGCTTCAGACCTAGCTCAGCACTCCTTTCATCTGGAAACACTTTCTTTACTTGGCTTCGGGAAAAACGCTGTCTTTGGGCTTCTTCCTCCCTCACTGGTCTGTCCTACTCAGATTCCTCTGTGAGCTCCTTCTCTTTTCTGGTTCTTTTGAGGTTTCCTGGCCCCAGGTCCTCTCCTCTCCTCTGCTGTCGCCCAAAGTCACCTCAGCCAGTGTTATGGTTGAATGTTTTCTGTACTCTGAAGACTCCGCTTTATGTCCGAAGCACCCCTGTTCCCTGACTCCAGACACATCCCCAGCTCCTGCCCCGTTTCCCCCTGGATGACTTACAGCTATCTCAGATTAGCACGGCCAAGGTTTGACCTCAGTCTGGTCTTCCCGCAGTCATCTCTCACCTACAGCAGCCTGGCTTTCCATAGTTGGTTTTCCTGCCTCCATCCTTGCTCCAGGCCCCTTCAATCTGTATTCAACACAGCAGCTGCCAAGAGAGTCGTTTACATTGTCAGATGAGGTCCATGCTGTTATGCCCCCTGTGGCCCCGGTCTCTGTCACTGCATGAAGGACCAGGCGTGATACAGATTAGAAGTACAAGCTTGCAGGAGGTGGGCTGACCTTGAATACAAGGTAGCCCTGAGCAACCTCTTTTATTGAGATGGTACATGACAGGTGAGGGGAGTATTTGACAATGACTGCGTGCTTAAGGATTGCCAGGGGCTCAGGCTCCTTCTCCACGAGGAACACCTGCGGATGAATTGCCAGAGGGTCTGCCCCCCAGCTGCAAATCCTCTTGCTCAGAGGTGTGTGGCTCTCGGCATCCTCTACACCATGCTCTGGTGTAAGGCCTCTCGTGACTTCCCTGCCAGGGGCCCTTCCCCCTGTGACCCCGCGGCCTTTCTGGCTCCCCCGTCACCCTGACACTCACTCTGCTCCAGCGGCCTTGGCCTCTTCCTCGCAGGCTCTCAGATGCTCCTGCGGGCCTCCTGCCGGGGGCTTCTGTAGTGTGGGCGACTCTGCCTTCAGTTCTGCGTGGCTCATGCCTCAGCACCTCAGATCTCTGTTCCCCCATCCTCTTTTCAGTGAGACCGTCTTGAGCGCTCCCCACCAGACCCCCAAATAAAGCCTGAGTCCTCCTCCTGGCTTTATTTTCTCCACTGTATTTACTACCGTATGAAAATATTTACTTTTTGTGTCGTTGGTTCATTGGTTCTTGTTTGTCTTCCTGAATTAGAATGTAAGTTTCATGAGAGTAGAAACTTTGTCTGCCTTGCTGACCGCCGTGTCGCCTGTGCCTCAGAGCGGCTGGACGCTCCCGCAGTGCTGCTGAGTGACTGAGCGGCAGCTCCTGAAGCCGGCAGCCTGGGTGGGATGGGGACAGGCAGCACTCGGAACAATTCACTTTACACTGATGGCTGTTTTTCCACCCTGCAGTTTCTCTGTTTGAAGAACATAAGAACGTTTCTCACAGCCTGTTGCGAGACGTTTGGAATGAGGAAGAGTGAACTCTTTGAGGCGTTTGACCTGTTCGACGTTCGTGACTTTGGGAAGGTAATGACATTTTATGTTTTATATCGGTTTTCGTTGGAGAACATTTTATCAAAGGGTTTCAGATCTTGAAGTAGGGCGCGTGAGGGGTTTGTGCAGCTGTATCATAAAATTCCGCAGATATGTGGCTTAGCAAAAACAACACACACAAAGCAACAGCCAAAAGCAACAGTAGCAACTTCCCAAATGAGATTATAATTATTTGCAATTAAGGAGTGTAAAGGAATCTTTTGTGCAGAGGTGATTTTTTTTGCTGGTTACCTCAGAGGTTAGGGTTACTATTATTCATCCTTTAGATCAAGCGTCCTCAAACTATGGCCCACGGGCCACATGCGGCCCACCTGGGACATTTATCCGCCCTGCTGGCTGTTTTTGCCGCCTCTGCTTGTCCTGCTTAGCAGCTGACCCATCCCGGGGCCCATAGTTTGGCCCTCCAATGGTCTGAGGGACAGTGAACTGGCCCCCTGTTTAAAAAGTTTGAGGACCCCTGCAAGACAGTTCACTGGGCACTCATGGCTAAGGAGCAGTATTCTTTCCTGCCAGTCTACTCTGTATCTGAAAGCTACTTAATTTTTTTGGAAGTTGAGAATGTTAAGTTGCCTTTTCCCCCAGTTTAACAATTGAGTGGGTGACTTGGAGAAGGCATGAATCATGGAGATGTTTGTGATTATTAAATAATTTCCATTGCTTGGATTTCAGCACATATTTGTTGGATCTTAAAGATATTTTTCACATAGAAATTTAAAACAATTTTTGTTATGAAGTGTATGCTAAACACATGTCTAGGTGAAAGAAATTATTATTTTAAAAGTTATGGTCATATATTATGAAATGAACGTACATGAAGTCAAACCTCTTATACGTAAGTAGCCATAAAAAAGTCAGGTACTTAAGGTGATGATACTTTAGCTCCTGGTGACATAATTGCATTATGAGAATATACACATAAGGAAAACAAAATAAATGATACTGAGAAGTTTGCCCTTACTTTTCTAGTTCAGATGCTAGAGTGTCATCAGAAGGATGGATAGATTGGCTTGCTTGGTAATGGGAATAAATAATACAAACTTGTGATAGAAGCATACGGGATTTGGTACCCTATCACAGTCAATACGGGGCAGCCACACTGCTTGGGGAGGGAGAGGCCTGGACCCTCTCTCTCTGCCTGGCACGGACTCACTCTGTGATCTTCTGGACGTCAGCAGTCTGCTCAGGCATGAGACTTCCTGCCAGCTTGGAAAGCCCTGTGAGAGGAAATGGGTGAAAGGACGTGGTTTCTCAGATGGCTTTGGTCTCTGACAAGCTGTGAGTTAACTCTGCTGAGGCCCAAAAAGTGAAGGAGGATAAATATGATAATAAATATGAGGAACTGAATGCCAGGCTCACGTAAGGGAAATGGTAGCACATTTCTCTGTGGCCATGAACTAAAGACAAAGACACAGAAAGTAGAGTCCTGGAAAGGTGGACCCTTCTCTGAGATATTCCTGTTTTTGCTCTTCTTGGATTGTTCTGCCTACTTCTTCCACCCCTTTGACCCCCCCCCCCCGTGTGCTAGGTCATTAATTGTTCTCATGTCAGAATTGAGTACATGGGATTCTTGTTTCTCCTTGGTGAAACTGTGTCTCATTCTATTGCCTGGGCATCGTCATAGCTCACAGCAACTTCAAACTCCTGGGCTCAATCAATCCTTCTCTCTCAGCCTCCAGAGTCGCTGGGACTACAGGTGTCTGCTACCATTCCTGACTATTTTTTCAATTTTTTGTAGAGAGAAGGTCTCACTCTTTCTTGGGCTGGTCTTGAACACCTTGGATCAAGGGATCCTTCCACCTCAGCCTCACAGAGTGCTGAGATGACAGGTGTGAGCCACCGCACTGGGCTCCCCCCTCCTTTTAAATCTTTGGTTTTTCTTTCTTGTGACCTCTCCTTTGGGGAAATGAAAAATGAAAAAGAATTGGGGAAGTTAAAAAACAGATAAAGTCTTGACTTTTGAAAACTCATTATGGAGCTATTCCTTTTTCATTCAGCTTCACAAGAAATGGCATTGATTAAGATTGGGAAATTATATAACTACTTTAAAAATGCATGGCTTTGTTCTAGTGGAATAACATTGCATACTAAATTGGTTATGGAAGCTTTGTAGGAGACTGGGGTTATAAAAAAAAAGAATGTAAATGAGTAAACTGTGTGCTTCTCAAGGATAAGTGTATTTCTGGCTACTTAAAATCTTTTGGCTGAGGTAAATCTGAAACAGTGAATCTTAGGACTGCATTTGAGAATTTGAACCTATGTTTGCTGTTATAAAGTCATTTACATTTTTGCTACTGCAAAGATTTGCTACTGCAGCTATCTCTTTAGAACTTACAGAAACCACTGTAAGTTAAAGACTATGTGATACTACTCCATAATATACCAGTACTATTAGTATTAGTATTAAACATTACTCTAAGTGAAACCACCAATACTGAATATTTACAATGGGCATTCTTTTCAATCTTCACGTGTGTATTATTTTTAGAACTGTCATAACAGCCTTATGGGGTACTGCGATTTCATCATACATGTGAGAACATTGCACCCCGGATCATATATCTAATAGAAATTAGAGTGGTGGTTGGAACCCAGATCTGCCTGGCTCCCCACCACTGTGCCATGGTGCAGAGTCCAGGCATCCTCAAACTAGGGCCTGTGGGCCACATGTAGCCCGCCGAGGACATTTATTCAGCCCACTGGGTGTTTTTGCTGCCGCTACCTGTCCTGCTTAGCTGCTGACTCCTCCCAGGGCCTGCAGTCTAACCCTCCAACGGTCTGAGGGACAGTGAACTGGTCCCCTGTTTAAAAAGTTGGAGGACCCCTGGTGCAGACATTCCCATAGCACACGCTGTGCTGATGCTGAGGCTTCACCTCAGTCCCACTGTGTGGGCACTCTTAAGGTTCCCATTTACATATCCTAGCTTGTGAATGGTGGAATTGGAATAATTCATGCAGCTTAAAAATTTTAAGTTGAAAGAATATGGAGTGTTAATTCAGAGACAAAATAATTTCTGATATTGTGAGAATATGTCTTAATAGTACGTGGGCAGTTATTTTCCTCCATTCCTTAGGATTTCATTAAATTTTCACTTGAAAAACCATCTGTGTATTCTTCTGTCTGCCTCAGTTCACGCAAAAGGTGAATCTGGAATTTATGTCCACATGGCACCTTTTTGCCTAGGAATGTATTAATTGTGATAACAGTACCTAACGTTTTTATAGCATTTTGACATTTTCAGAGTGCTTAATATTCCTCACCTCATTTGATTCTCATAATAAACTTGCAAAAACAGTCTTCAGATGAGGAAACCATAAGATGGAGAGGTTAGAGAGTGATTTTAAGGTCTCATTGCCTGGGGTGGGAGCAGGATCTGGAGCTCAGGACTCTGACTTTTCAGCTGTTTGCTTTTCTTGTCTGTTCTCTATATTTTGGGACTCACTGTTGTATGTGTGGTCAGGGAAGAGGATGAACTCATGGGAGAGAACCAAAAGAATTTTAAATTAGAAAACATAAATGATCTGTCACTTGGGATCTAATTTTATTAATACTTTAGAAAGAAAGGAAAGATCTGCAGTGTAATGGTGGTTAAAGATTATAAAGCTGGGGCAGAGCACAGTGGCTGAACCACTTTGGGAGGCCAAGGAAGGAGGATTGCTGGAGTCCAGGAGTTTGAGGCCTGCCTGAGAAAGAGTGAGAACCTGTCTCTATAAAAAAATACAAAAATTATCTGGCTGTAGTGGCAGACACCTTTAGTCCTAGTTACTCAGGAGGCTGAGGCAGGAGGATCACTTGAACCTAGGAGTTTGAGGTTGTAGTGAGCTATGATGACATCACCACACTGTAATCTGGATGACAGAGCAAGACCCTGTATTTGAAAAAAAAAAAACAAGTTAGGGAGGCACCTGTAGCTCAAAGGAGTAGGGTGCTGGCCTCATATGCCAGAGGTGGCGGGTTCAAAACCAGCCCTAGCCAAAAACTGCAAAAAAAAAAAAAAAGGAAAAAGAAAAATACAAGTTAATATCTAAATAGGTAAGTGTTTCCCAGACTCCTGTCTATACACATGGAGCCTGTTTTTAGCTACCCCCCCCATCCCTATTTAGATTGTGGTATATTCTGCTCTCTAATCTTTGTCTAAATTTTCCCTTGGTTTTGGGTTCAGGAAATCTATCTTTTATTTTAGGGTTGGTATAGATATGTTTTCCATTGGAAAATCTTGGGAAAAAATGTTAATCACAAATGAAAGACAATTTTCCTTTTACGATATGGTCAAGAACATACATTTTTGAGCACTTGAAAGGGCTTGTGATATTTTGCCGTTCAGTGTAACCTTTGATTTCTAGTATTAAACTCTTTACTAAATGTTAATTCATTTCAATTTAAACTCAACCAACATCTGTCAGGGCCTGGTGGCTCTTGCCTATAATCCCAGCGCTCTAGGTGGATTGCTTGAGTTTAGGAGTTCAAGACCAGCCTGAACAAGAGCAAGACCCCGTCTCTATAAAAAGTAGAAAAAACTAGCCAGTCGAAGTATTGTAAGCCTGTAGTCTCAGATACTAGGGAGGGTGAGGTAGGAGGAGCTCTTGAGCTCAAGAGTTTGAGGTTGCTGTGAGCTATGATGCCATGGAACTTTACCCAGGGTGATACAATAAGACTGTCTTAAAAAATAATCCCCCCAAACAAAACCCCCCAAACTCAACCAATATCAACAAAAAGTAGAATCATTTGGAACATTTTCTGTAACCCCCGTCTTCATTCACAAAGTCTGAGAAATGAGATCAGTAACTTAAATTCATTTAGGAGCCAGCAGAGCCTTTAAGGTTAATTCTTTAGGGTTGTTAAATACTGAAAAATTTCCTGAAAGAAATGGAGTCCTTGTTTAAGATTGCTGAGGTGTGGGGAGCATGGATGCCTTTTTAATGGCCCTACAGCTCCTCTCTGAATTGTGTTTATGTTTTGAAAAACCACTGACTTT